TTTGTGAGGAATAGGAACCAGCTGTTCATTTATCCAACCTTTGGAAATGAATTCATGGCTGGTTGTGTTCCAGATCCACAAACGTAAATGTCTTTGTCACCCTGACATAACATTTTGATGCTAAACCAAAATAAACAAGCTGAACTTATAAATAAAATAATAATCACATTTCTTTATACATAAATCCTATTTTACCAAAAGGCTCTCCTAATGTTGTCCTTTAAAAATAAGATACATTTACTTGCTCCAATCCCCCTAAAAATGATCTATTGGTCAGACAAAAATATTATTCCTCTTATCCTAAAATTCTTAGCAAATCTTTCCAGTGTTTATGATGGACCTATAGGAGGTTATTTAGGGTGATTGGTGGTTCTCTGAGCTGTTCTTTGGATATATTTCAACTTTCAATGCAGTTATAGAAAATTAGATTGTTCTCTGTTTCTGCACATTTAGAATGATAACAACCTAAATCACATAAAGATAGTCTGTTTGCTTTGGTTTGCCTTTGGTTTATTATGGTTGAAAAATAAAAACCTATAGGTAGCATAAAATAGGCAATAAATATCCAGTAAATATTACTCATTACTGCACCGTTACTCCTATTTAGAGTCACCAAGCGGTTTTTAATTTCTCATCTGTAAAAGCTGACAAGATGGTTTTCACAGTCAAAGAAGGCCAAATACAACATGAAATAAGTAAATGTAACATTGATTGATTTAATTCATTAATTAATTAACTTCTCTGTCTGTTTAATTATACAAAATCTGTAAAAAAAATAATAATAATAATAAATACATAAAATTTTGTTTTTAAGATAAAAAAAATCCCATTCGTCTGTCAGTTTGCTCTATCCAGAGCTCCTGGAGTGGCAAAGTTTACCTTCTCCTTTTTAAAATTCTGTTTAAAATCATATTTAAGGATTTTTTATATATATATAAAAATTTTAAATTGAAGCCCTAAACATGAACTTGGGTAAAATCAAAAATATTGCAGCAGATAAATCAACCTCTTATCGCTGAAA